GAACACTTCCCTGGGCAACCTGGTCCAGTGTGTCACCACCCATGCACTAAAGAATTTCTTCCTAATGTCTGACTTACAATTACCCTCTTCCAGCTGAACACTGTTACCCCTTGTTGTATCATCACACCTTATGGTAAAAAGTCCCTCCCCAGCTTTCCTGCATGCCCCCTTCAGGTACTGGGAGGCTCCTATAAGGTCTTCTGGGATCCTTCTCTTCTGTAGGCTGAACAGCCTGACTCTATCAGACTGAACTCTCTCAGCCTGTCTTTTTAGGAGGGGTGCTTCAGCCCTCTGATCATCTTCATGGCCCCCCTCTGGACTTGCTCCAGGAGCTCTTGTGTCCTTCTTGAGTTGAGGACTCCAGAACTGGACACAGTACTCTGGGTGGTGTATCACAAGTGTGGAGAAGAGTGACAGAATCACCTCCCTGAACCTGTAGGCCAGGCTTCTTTTGATGAAGCCCAGGACATGGTTGGCTTTCTGGGCTGCAAGTGCACATTGCCAACTCATGTTGAGTTTTTCATCAACCAACACCTCCAGGTCCTTCTCCTTAAGGCTCTTCTCAATCCATTCTCTGCCCAATCTGTAAATTGCCCCAGCCCAGGAGCAGAACCTTGCACTTGGCCTTGTTGAAGTTCATGAGGTTGGCATGGGCCCTCAAACCTTTCATGGTCCTTCTGGATGGCATCCCTTACTTACAGCGTGTCAACTACACCACGCAGCTTGGCATTGTCAGCAAACTTGGTGAGTGTGCACTCAATTTTACGGACCATGTCTCCAACAGAGATGTTAAACAGCACCAGTTTTCCAAGTATATTTCCAAATTTAAGCTGTTTGAACTTCTGATGCATCTTATGCTGTTTTATCATAAAGCTTCATTGTTGTTGAACCTCAGGTTTAGTATAAGATATACCTTGGGCTAGGGTTTTGAATTTAACTTATAATTTAAGTAGGTGGATTCTCTGTCTTCCCTCGTGTTTCTTTTTAAATTCACTTTCTGGAAGCAGACAGTAGAAATTAAAAAGCAGAATTATGAAACAGGTTTTCCATTGTAGTGTACTAGTATCAGCAGTGAGATTATGCTAGCAGAGAATTTGGGTCTTGGAAAACCTGCCATCAGCTTTGAGAGTCAAGACTTGCTTCTAGAACTTAAGCAGTTCGGTGGTGTGGTTTGTACATTGTCTCTAAGGGATGCATGGACTTCCAAAATACAATATTAAAACATCTTATGTGACTCTGTGCCTCCTAACTGAGAGAAGATGGGTTTGGGAGGGAAGCAAAAGAGAGGATTTGAAAAATTTTGGTCTTTCACTTTCTTTCTTTGAGTCTTGAAGCCTAACTTCACTGTATGTTCCCCGTTCTGTCTGACATGGCAGGAAGTTCTGTCTGGAACTTCAAGAAAGCTGTAAGCCAGCATCTGTGGTTTGGTTTTATGTGACTGCATTAGCAGGGTAATCATAGCACTGAGCAAGAAGGCAGGGATACAATTGTACATCAGGAGGAAAAGTTGGGGGAAGAATCTTTACTATTTATCAACATACTGTCTGCTACTCTTACATTTCTAATTTCAATCAGCCAGTAGTGCTGGCTTGTCTTTTAACATACAACGTTGGACAGAGATGGTGATTTATTGGATAACAAACAAAAACACTTGCAGTTCTATGTAAATCGCTATGCTAATAGCATAGTTTGGGGGATAGGATTTGGCGTGTTTTTAGGTCTGAATTTGAACCTGTTGTAGCACCATTCAGTTGCTCTCCAATCTTATTAACCTAAGATACCTGTAATATTAGCATGATTCTAAATGTGATGAAGAAGGCCTGGATTATATAATCCATGCTCTAGGAACATGGAAAAAAATGGTGGGTTTGCACCCTGCTTTCATTATAATTTCATCATTAGTACATAACTCACATTAGCAGAAGCTAACCTATCTTCAGTTTATGAGAACTTGAATTATCTGTATTACTTTGAAACTTCACAGTGAAATCAACAGTGTAAATTACTTCTACTTCAATACATGTTTAAAAGCTTTAAATGATGATACTTACAGACATATTACAGATTTTAAGACATTCTGATACTGGGTGCATAGGATCTTGAAACTTCAGTCTCATGCAAATGTATTTGTGAGAAAACAACTGTAGATCAATGCAAAACCTTAAAAATTAAGACCTATAAAGTAATCAGAAGACATAATCCAGAGTGATTTGAGGATGTTGAGAAGTATATTAGAGATTACTTTCCTCAGGGTGCCTGAAGTTTCTTAAATACTGTTTGGTATTAGCCATGTTTCTTTCATGTCTTCCTTTCTCTTAATTTGAAACATTAAGTGTTAATTCAGTTTGTAGGAAATCATGTTTCAAATGTCTCTTAAAAATGGTTGTAAGTGTTTGGAAGTAGAATATACCTGGAGAGAGCGTTCTTTATCCTTGTTTTCTTGTATGGGTTTGAATCTTTTGTGTGTGCCAGAGCAAGCAAAACAAAGACACGTACACCCTTAAAATTAAACCACACAACTTGGGGAGCTATGTATTTTCATTCCAAGTTTCAACAGCACATGTTTTAGAGACATGGAGCTCTCTTTTTACTATCATTTAAAAGTAGAATAAAGAAGGTGAGGCACTGAGGAAAAAAATCATCAGGACTAAAGTTGTGAGCTTTGATTAAGCTTAGGAAAGCAAAAAATTCCAAACTTAAAGATGACCATTTGTTTTGACACTGCCCTTACCTGACCATGCTGTTCCTACTGGATGGAGTTTTCACTCCACTCTATATTTCTTTGCTTTTTGTGTTTTCCAGTCTAGCCTCTTCTGTCACTGCAACATAGGGATTTTTTTTTTTCTTTTGTGGTTTAATTGTAAAAAAAAAAAGTTTGTGCTGTATTCTTGGAGCTGCACAGATGGTTCCATGCCAAACATATTTGTTTACCGTAGTAATGTCTGAGTTGTAGTGTGCCAGCTAATAAAGGGATTTATTTAAGGAACAAGGTGAATGACTAAAACAGATGTGCCAGTTGGGTGAACCATTAAAAGAATCTTACTTCTCATCTTTACATAAGGATTACATAAGGATTATACTTAATGCATTTCTGAGAAATCAAGAGGGGTTGCAAAGATGTTTTGAGACAGCTGAAAGCACCTTCTCTGTTTTCTTGAGGGGGTCTTTTCCTGTGGGCTTAAGAAACGTTAGTCTTTCATGTATCTCATTGAAGAATTTACAAAGACAGCAGGTAAAAGTGCTGAGTTTTTTACTTCTGGTCGAGTATTATAATCTTATAATGAATTTTCACCTGTTTATAAATTGTATGATTCTGTCTTTCAGTTGTGGGGAAACTTGTTTTAATTTTTCTGTAATTTAAATTTCTGTAATGTAATATAAATACGTATCTTCATTCCATGGAAATCATGGGTCAACCTCCAATATTTCCACTGAATTTCCTTTAATTTAGTATTTACCTTTTTTAAATAGACATTTAAGGACCCTAACTTAAAAATTAATAAGTTATTAATTCTGGTGCTTAAGTATATGGTTTGTTTTCAGTTGTGCAAATGAGGGATTACTTAAGGCATACACACTGTTCTAAAGTTGACCACATACTTATATGCCATTTTGAATAACAGTAGATAGTTGCAGTTTTTAGGTGCTCATTTCTGAAGCTGTGCTCCAAGAGATGAAACATTGTAGTTGTCTGTACCTGTCTGTTGCTGTTTGTTGGCTCTTTCTTTATATTTAGATTTACAGCTTTTGAGTCGTGGACTGTATTTACTTCATGTTCATGGCAGCAGGTGGAAGAACATTGGTGTTCTCTTATTTTTGACTTGTGTGACTGAGTAATCCTAATATTATAGTGCCTCTTGTGTGCTTCTACTAATGGCAGTATTTCTGGTTAAGAAATAGCATGTGTGAAGTCTCTCTGGTATTAATAATATTCTTTCGTTAAGAATAATTGAATTGGTGCCTTTCTCATTTTAGGTTAATTGTGTTTTTTTTTAATTCTAGTACTGAAAAAAAATCAGAGACAGCATGGAAGTCAGCGTTAGCATTTTCTGTGGGTTCCTATCCAGACAAATTTATCAAAGACTGTCTGTTTGTAGGCAATGATTGTAATCTGATCTGAGCTTCAGTAAAAATGAAAAATGTGCCCCCTGATTAAATGTTGCAATTAAGGATTTTAGAGGCTTGGTTTTGAAATGAAGCATTGATCTCATAGCAGTATGTTTGGTATTAAATTGTAGAGCGACTGCAAGGCAATTAGATCATCTTTCTTGGGATTTCAGGACTCTACATCTTTATTTAACAACAAAGAAAGGCTACTTTGAGTTGTACCTTCCATGATTATTTGGGGTTTGGACAGCATGTTAAAGCCCTTAAATACTAATCTGACAACACAGTATTATGGGAGAGTATCACGTCTGTAATTTGTGTCTGTGCACTAATTCAGTAAGTATGTGGCATTTCTTTTCTGTTATAAAATACCTGACCCATTGAGGGTGACTGTTTAAGAAAAAGAAAAATGGACAGAAAGAAGTTGTTTTTGTAAATACCTATAGGTTCATAATACCTATGTCTTGTCAATTTCAACAAGAATAAGACAACTGAATTCCAGGAAGCTAGCTCCTGCACAGCTGTCTTGTTTAGCAGTTACTTACTTCAGTTTGTCCTGTTCCAAGGTGGATTTCACACTAACTGTTTCAGATTGAGAACCTCTCAATGATGTTAAGATTTAAAATGTTTGGCAGATCTGATCAACCTTGACATTGAACTGACTGAACCTTGTGCTTTACATAGCTCCCAAATGCTGTCTTCATTCTTGAAAGACCAAGTTTTGAGTGCAAGGAAATGCAATGTGACTGGATGTAAATTGATTTAGACCCAAAAGAAGTTTCTTCTCTTCTTTGCTGGAAAGAAACTGAATAGTTTTTATTTATCAGATATGCTGAAAGCTTTTGATCTTATGCTCGGTTAATAATTTGTTTTCTTTCCTTCCATCACTGCAGGCCATATACACCTATGAAAGGGGCCTTATCCACAGTGTGGTTTGACAGGTATAAGATCTCTAATGACTGTCCAGAACACATTGAAAGTATTGATTCTATGTGCCAGGGGCTTACAGATTTGCTCAACGATGAGATTAAAAATGGCATTGCAAAGAACAGGATACTAATAGGTAAGCTACACTTATTTTTAATATGTTTGTTTTAATGGTTTTTAATTGTTAAGAGATCATCTACTTTGAATTTACTCCATCCTGAAAGCCCATGAGCATGCCTTGCAACTGCTGATCAGCGTGTGCAGCAGCCAGTCCTCAAGAATGCTGAACCATTTAGACCTGAATCAAGTGAGGAACATGGCTAACTGTAAGGAGTGTCCTCTAAAAATTTAAAAGTTTTTTTTATTATAAATAGTAATTTGTAATCATATTTAAAATGCAGAGTGTGCAGTGGCTTACTTCAAAAAGTACATATTTTTACTATTCCTTTTTATCCCTTTTCAGCATACTTTCCCAAAACAACTTGTATTTTGGAGAGTAGAGAGGTAGCATATAAATAATTGTAAGCTTTCCCTTACTATTCTAATAATTTTGGATAATTCATGGGGAAAAATTTCAATGTTACACATCACTAAAGTTTAACACTTGCTAACAAATGAAGCATTAGCTGTCGTAGTAAGCTGGCTGCCCATGGCTTGGATGTGCACAAACTTTGCTGGATAAATAACTGGTTGGAGAGCCAGGTCCAAAGAGTTGTGTTCAATAGAGTTAAATCCAGTTGGTGGCCAGTCATGAGTGGTGTTCCCCAAGGCTCAGTGCTGGGACTGCTCCTGTTTCACATCTTTATTGATGACTTGGATAGAGTTCACCCACAGTAAGTTTCCCCTTCATGCTAAGTTGGGTGGGAGTGTTGATCTGCTTGAGAGCAGGGAAGCTGTGGAGAGGGATCTGGACAGGTTTGACCAATGGGCCAAGGCCAATCGCATGAGTTTCAATGAGGCCAGATGTCCTGCACTTTGGCCACAACAACTGCCAGCAGTGCTACAGGCTTGGGGAGGAGTGGCAGGAGAGCTGCCCAGCAGAGAGGGACCTGGGGGTTTGTCCTGGTTTGAGCCAGGATGAAGCCAATTTTTCTTTTTACTGATTTTTTTTTTCCTTCAGTAAGCTTTCTTGTAACTAGCAACAGTGTGTTCTGCTAGGCTGATAAGACAGTGGAATGTTTTTCTAACTACTGAGGCTTCAAGGTTGCACCTTCACTCTGCCAGCTCAGACAGAACACACTGTTGCTAGTTACAAGAAAGCTTACTGAAGGAAAAAAAAAATCAGTAAAAAGAAAAATTGGCTTCATCCTGGCTCAAACCAGGACAGGGTTTTGATTGACATGCAGCTGAACATGAGCCAGCAGTGTGCCCAGGTGGCCAAGAAGGCCAAGAGCATCCTGGCCTGCATCAGGAATAGTGTGACTTGCAGGATCAGGGGGGTGATCCTGCCCCTCTACTCAGTCTTGGTGAGGCTGCATCTGGAGTACTGTGTGCAGTTTTGAGCATCACAGTTTAGGAAGGACATTGAGGTGCTTGAGAAGATGCAGAGAAGGGCAACAAGGCTAATTATGGATCTGGAGAACAGGTCTTACGAGGAAAGGCTGAGGGAGCTGGGGCTGTTCAGCCTGGAGGAGTTTGAAGGGAGACCTCATTCCCCTCTACGACTACCTGGAAGGTTGTAGTGAGGTGGCTGTTGGCCTCCCTGGTGACCAGTGACAAGACAAGAAGAAATGGGGTCAAGCTGCACCAGTGGAGGTTCAGGCTGGATATTAGAAAAAACATCTTCACAGAAAGTGTTGCGAGGCACTGGAACAGGCTTCCTAGGGGGGGTGGTGGAGGCACCATCCCTGGAGATGTTCAAAAAAGGGGTAGACATGGTGTTTCATAAGATGGTTTAGTAGTTAGGGGTTATAGGGTGGACGGTTGGACTTGGATGATCTTGGAGGTCCTTTCCAGCCTTGCTGCTTCTACGATTCTATGTGTCTTCCTGTCCCTCTTAATTTTCATTTATTTCCAGTAAGATTCAGAGTACGTTTGTGAAATAGGTAGTAGGATATTGAGACACAGCACTTGAGTAACCTATGTCAGGAGAGGGAATGAGAATTCATGAGTTTTTGGCTCCCTGTCCTATCCCTAGACCACAAACTGTTTCAGGTTGGGGAAAAAAATTCTTAATGTGGGATGTTTTAAATGTGTGACCAACTGAGTCATGCCATCAAAATCCTGCATGGTGGAGCCACTATCATTCAGCCTACATGTTTTCTTTTTCCAGCCCCATGTTGCTCTTTGAAGCTTTCTGTTTACTTTCCCTGTCTGGCTCATTGTCCTGGCTGCAGAAGGCTTTGTTTTGGATGGCTGTCAGCAGAGTCTCTTTGATCTGTTTTTCCTGTGTTATACCTGCAGGTTTGGAAACTGAAGCTGAAGAAGCACAGGTGCTTTTCTGTAGAGTGAGCTGGGAGGTGTTCTGTATACAGATACAATTTGGTACTAGACTTTTCTCTTTTCTCGGTAGCCATCAAAATTGCCACTAGTGAGACTGCAGAGTATAAAACTTGTTTTGCAAGTCGTAAGCAGAGTAAGGAAGTTGGTATGCACTGATTGTTTCAGCCCATAGATTCTTTGGAAGTCCCCATCTCTGTGTGTTTGCATTCTTCATTTGTAAATCAGAAATTAATTATATGTACATTCTCACTCTCGAGATCTTTGTTTTCAAGGTTCTAGAGAAAAACACTGTTTCCTTGCTTCTATGGCACAGACCCACAGTTGACTCAAATGTTCATGCAACGGGCAAACTAAGGCAGCCCTGAATTAGCTGCATCCAAATTGCAGAAGGAGAGCCATGTGCATGCTTACGAAATGTAGTAGCAAATGTATTGAATCACTTAGGGCTGCACAAGATTGTTGTTTCACAAGAACTTTGTGCCTTCTCTACACAGATTTTGATGATTAACTGGAATGTGATGCAGCAGAGAGCAAGGTCCTGAGAGGTTTCTGTGAGTAAAGGTTGGGTTTAGTATCAGTCTGAACCTCACTCATGTGACGTTCTTAGTTGTTATAGATGGGACTTGTGCAAAAATTGCCCATCTTCTGGTGGTATTTCTTACAGGAAATCAGGAATTCTGTAAAGGCACCTGGCAGCTTTTTAACATTTTTTTATGAAAAGACAATATGAGGCTAAGGTTTTGTTATTAAGATGTTGTCAATATGTCTGCATCAAACTGTAATGTCCACTGGAAAAGGAAGAATAGGTGTCCTGAAATTTTTCTGAGTTTGGGAAAGATTGGTGGACATGAGATAATAAAAGAGGTTTAAAACGTCAATAAACTGAGTGCTGTGAGTCAGGAATATCCATCTGGAACAAGAAGAGAAGGCTCAAAATAATAGTTGGGAAGCAGACAGTGGATTTGTGAATGCTGCTATGATAAGAGTTGGAGGAGGTAGCCTTCTTGAGATTAAGGCAAAAAAAAAAAAGATTATTATAGCAGGGGAAGCCATGGGGAGATTTTGCTATGAAAATTTCGTCATTCATGCAACGAATATTGCATGTTGATGTTGAGTCACTTTAGAGATCCATAATCATAGAACGGTTTGGGTGTGAAGGGACCTTAAAGATCACCTAGTTCCAACCCCTCTGCCATGTGCAGGGACGCCTCCTACTAGACCAGCTGGGTCAAAACCCCATCCAACCTGTCCTTGCACACTTCCAGGGAGAGGGCATCCAAAACCTCCCTGGGTAACCTGTGCCAGTGTCTTACCACCTTCACAGTAAAAAAATTCTTCTTAATATCCAATTTAAGTCTACCCTCTTTGAGATTGGAACCATTCCCCCTCATCCTCTCACTACATTCTTTTGTAAAAAGTCCTTCCCCAGCTTTCCTGTAGCCCCTTCAGGTACTGGAAGGCCACTGTAAGGTCTCCCTGGGGCCTTCTCCAGGCTGACCAATCCCAACTCTCAGCCTTTCTTCAATTGAGAGGTGCTCCAGCCTTCCTCTGGACTTGCTGATACCTATCTTATTACGGAATGTAGAGACAAAATAGTTGAGAGGAGACTGGAGGACTCTGTAGTCTGTGAAGAGCAATGGTGGCCTTTTCAGGTAGGTCACAGAAGCCAAAAGAGCAGAGCAGTTGCATGAAGTTGTTATTATAGGGAATTAGATGGTTGTTATAGGGTTAAGGAGAAATGGGTTGTGGGACTGTCTGTTTTGTAATGAGTGGGAGTTTTAATGAGTGGAAAGAAAACAAAATTAGTATGAGAAGGGTAACAAGATTGAAGGTTATGGTTTTATAGCAAGAGTGGACTAGAAATTACAGGCTGAGGATGAGTGTCAGATATTGTTAGGTGGGTGCAAGCTAGGTGTTAGGCAGGCAGGAAGGTGGGTAGCTGCTGACAGCTCAGAGGTGTGGGATAAGAAGGCAAGATCTGAGGGAGCACTGTGCAAAGGAGAGTGAGTGGGAAGAGAGGGGAAGCAGGAGCAGGCTCTCAAACAGTGGAAAAAGAAAGAAGTCCAGCACCTGGTGTTCTGCGGGATGATTCTCCTTCTAGAGCCTGTCAAACTTTCCATAAAGGTGAAGATTGTGGATGCAGTAAGATCATTTGTTCGCACAGAAGTTATAGCCTGTTTGTTTCACTAGCACAGTTAGTTATGAAATCCACAAGTAGCTACTTGTAGGGCAGAACTCTAAAGCTGAGGATGGAGTCCAGTTTGTGCAATGTCAGTCCTCTTTTTCTGTATCAAGAAAAATATTGGTGCATCCCTGTTTTTATCAGCTGCTCTATGAATTTTCTAAAGAATTACTTAATTCGCTGGAGGTAAAGTCTGTTATTAAAACCTCCATACCAGTTAGGTGTAATAACAAGCACACAGTAGTGCATGAGTCTTCTACCCATTACTGTTTCCTGACAATTTCATGAGTTGCTTTATTACTAATATAGAAGTCTCTTGAAGGAAGTGGGTTTGTTAATTAAGGTTTATTTCCGTGACCTTACAGTAGGAAGGGAAGGGACACTAACTGCAATACATAATTACTCAAAAATCATAGCATCATTCCCAGAATTGGGTGAAGGAATGAATTTTTTTTAGCCAAACATTTGTGTTGAGTTACACTTACTCTTCTTCCTGGCTAAAGCACTTACTG